TGTGCATCTGATTATGCAAAGTGTAACCACTACCTCCCTTGATGTTCTTTGGGAAGGTTCTACAACTGGCTCATTCCTGCCTTCCAGGGGTATCAGGCAAGGAGACCCCATGTCTCCGTACATTTTCGTTCTTTGCATGGAACGGTTGAGCCATCTAATCTTCGAGGCTACTTCAGGAAAGTATTGGAAACCTATTGTCCTTAGGAAGAACGGTCCTCCAATCAGCCACTTATTCTTTGCGGATGATCTCTTACTGTTTACGGAAGCATCTTTGGACCAGGCGGATCTTATTAAAAAAATTATTTCCTGTTTTTGTGATTCCTCTGGGTAGACAGTAAATTTTGACAAGTCTAGGGTGCTCTTCTCAAGAAATGTGAACCAATTGAGAGCCGAGGAGATTGCTCAAGCCATGGGCTTCTCCACAACTCCGGATTTGGGCAAGTACTTGGGCATTCCTCTAATGCACGAGAGGGTGAGGACTAGCACTTTCAATCTCATCCTTCAGAAAATGGACAACAAGCTCTCTGTTTGGAAGATGAAGACCCTCTCCCTAGCGGGTCGAGCAACCCTCTCCCAATCCGTGCTTTCATCCATACCTGTCTATCCTATGCAATCGTGCCTCCTCCCCTTGAAAACTTGCGATGACATTGAGAGGAAAATCTGTAATTTCCTTTGGGGTGACTCTACTGATAAGAAAGGTCTGCATGTTGTTTCCTGGAATAGAATTTGTCATCCTAAAGACAACAGAGGTCTAGGATTTAGAAGTCTGAGACTCATGAATTAGGCCCTTCTTATGAAGGTGGGCCACAGAATGCTAACCCAGACGAAGAGCTTATGTGTAAGGGTGTTAAGGAATAAGTAGAAGGTTGGGGAAGACTTAATCCCGGAGATAAAAACAACGAAACAAGCCTCAAACTTATAGAGGGGTATCCAGAAGGTGTGGCCTAAAGTGAAACTTGGTTCGACAATCCAAGTTGGCAATGGTGAAAAGACCAGATTTTGGGAGGATAGATGAATCCTAGGCAATGAGCTTGTGAAGGCCAAGGATTCTGTTATCATTCCTAGAGAAGTAGAGAGATGGACAATAGGTAACTGTGTTGAAGGAGATGGAACTTGGAATTGGAACTCTCTGGAACAATATGTCTCCCCACAGTCTCTGATTTGTTTGGCTAGTATTCTGCCCCCTTCTTCCTCCGATGGTGATGACCGAGTCACTCGGGCAGGATCAAGTAATGGAGTTTTCTCGGTCAAATCAGCCTTCTCCATGCTTGATTTCGATTCCTTATTGCATACTAATAATGCCGAGCTGCTCCCTTGGAAATGGAAAGGACCTAACAGAATCCAGATGTTTATTTGGAAAGCTCTTGGCAATCATCTGATGACAAATATCAATAGGGAAAAGAGGAACTTAACAACATGCAATCTTTGTACTAGATGTGCCCGACATCTAGAGGACATCCTACATGTGCTTCGAGACTGCTCATGGACCAGAAGTATTTGGATACGCCTTCTCCCCAGTGAACATCTGCCTCAATTTTTTGATCTTCAACACCACCAATGGCTACAGTATAATCTTGAGTCGACTCCAAATACTTATGGCTATCAACATTGGCATCTCCTATTTGGTGTTGTTTGCTGGCTGACTTGGAAATATAGAAACGATTTCATCTTCAGCAACAAAGTAGCAACTCAGGAATCTTTGATTAGGCAAGCTAATATTTACGTTTCAAATTTCCTTGCTGCTCGTGATAGGCTGGGCTCCTAAGGCGTGCAGAAACGGGTAACAGTGGAGCAGCTCATCAAGTGGAATTTTCCTGCTGCAGACTGGGTGAAATTGAATACAGATGGATCTAGTAGCTTGGGAGGTCAGTTATCTAGCTGTGGAGGAGTTCTCCGGGATGATGCAGGTAGGTGGCTGGGGGGTTCTGCAAGAAACTGGGAGCAGGCTCGTCCCTAACAGCGGAGGTTTGGGGTGTCCTACAGGGGATGCTTGTGGCTTGGGAGCTAGGCTTCAAGAAGGTATGCATTGAGTCTGATTCTAAAGTGGCTATTCTCCTCATACAGGATTTTTGTGATCCTTGTCACCCATTAGCCCCCTTGATTAATCATATTAGAAGCCTGTTAAGTAAGAATTGGGAGATCAATTTTATTCACACTTTTCGCAAAGGGAATTCAGTTGCTAATGCCATGGCTCGTATGAGAAGCTACTTAGACTCTTGGGATGTGCAACTGCATGTAGAAATTCCTAAGGAATGTAGAGATCTCTTAAATAGAGACTTGCAGGGTGTAACTTGCCTAAGAATTTATAACCTGTTTTAGTTTTTGTTTTGTTTTCGTGCTATTCAAAATAAAAAAAAACGATAAAAAGTCGTAGAAATGTTAAGACAAAGACAATTATTACTATTTAAACATTAATTATATTTGTTTCGTACGTAAATGAAATGTATGTAGTTTCCCTACCCCCAAAAAAATGTATGTAGTTAGCTGAATGAGAGTTAGGATTATATTTTATAAATGTAAAGGTTGTGAATAAATTTTTATTTGTTAAGTATTTCTTAATATTACGGCATATAACTACTAGCTTGCTTTCGCTGTATTTAAAGCAAGTGCTCTGGTCTTGGAATGAAATAAGCTTTTTTTTTCCCTTAAGCTTTTTTTTTGTTAGAAATAATAGGAAATTAAAACAAAAACACAACAAAAAGAAACTAGGCACAAAGCCTAGACCAGTGAACACCTATAGTGTCACCATACAGACTATCAATACAACCTGACGGTGGACAATCAAATTCCTGAATTACCCAAGAGAAACCATAAGAGTAAGAGGCTAGAAAGTCCGCTACTCTATTTCCTTCACGGTGAATGTGAGACATATAAATCTGCCAATCTCGCTGCATCAAATTTCGAATACGATTCACCAAATTAGCCGCAGGGTAATCATGGTGGCACCCCTTAAGCTTTTTATAACAAAATATATAAACCTTTTTTTTTTTGGATATTAAAAAAAAATTGTAATTAGATGTATATCTATAATTAAGATGTATATCTTTCCAAAAAAATTGTAATTAGATAAGCTATTGTTGTCACCAAAAAAAAAAAAAAAATTTGTTTTCTTTATCATGGTACCTCTATTATTAAGTGTAAGCCTATTTAAAAATTTGTTTTCTTTATCATGTTAACTAATTAATTAGGAGGTTATCGAGGTACACTCCACTTTTTTTTTATTGTTTTGAAAATTAGGTCGATTATTAAAACCATGAAGATATCGATTTATTGTTTACTGGTTTCACCATGGTCTAATCGCAGTCAAAAAATGACAATTAAATATATATTTTCAATTTTATATAATGCATATTAAATAATGAACTAAAGTCAAAGCAATATAAATTAATCAAATTCCACAATGTCCAGAAAATTAAGAATTATACATGACATAATATTTAAATGGATTGAACACCAAAACCGTTTACTAATTTTTCATTCAAACCAATTGATCCATTTTTTTATTATTGGTTTTTCTACATTTTCTATAGCTGAGGTAAGTGGTCTTTAAAAAAAAGTTTATTTTTTTAACATTTAATAAAATATGAAGGGTAAAGAAAGTGAATGCAACTCAAGTTAGGGATATTCAAGATCCATTCAATTCTAATAATTCGGTCTAATCCAGAGCTATTTGGGACGGGTTTGGTTCTTAAAAAATTAGACGCGATGTTTTTTTTGTTTTTTGTTTTTTATCAAGTTTGCGTTACACGTAATATTGTCCCAATTCAGCATAATCTTACAAAATATTTTAATTAATTTTAGTCATTGATAATCAAAGAATAAAATTTCTTGACTTAATAAAATTTGTTTTAAAATATATATTGTAAAACATTTAGAGACGTGAACGCGACATAAACCTTTTAGTCACGGATAGGATGGTCTTTTAGAGAGCAATTTCAATTTGCTAACTCATTCTTTTAGTTTCATTGTTTGATCATTTTTTTTATGATTACTTCTTAAGTAAAAATATACTACGCAATAATAAAAGCATTTTTACATTTACTTTTTTAAAAAAATAATCAGTTTTTTCTCAATTTTTTTTTTTAAAATATTTTTCAATAACCGCTACAAAACATTCCTATCACATGTTAATTAATAATTTTAATATGATCATCTTAACGGTGATGTTCTTATAACTCTATGTTCTAATGTTTTTTCCTATCTCACTCGCTATCCTCGTTAATTTAATCATGAATAACTAGGATACTCATATCTTAATGTTTTTGTTTATTGTGCTTCTTTCAACAGTTCAGAATCACTGTGTTTCTTAGAGAGCCTAGAAATTAAAGGTGTTTGTCAACCGATTCAAACCGCACTGATCGAACAAAAAAATTGATAATCGAATAAGCTGAAAATCGAAAAAATGAAAACTGAAAAAAAATTGTAAATTTTAATTGGATTGGATCAGTTTTTGGATTGGTTAATGAAAACTGATCCAATCTAAACCGATACAATATATTAATTTCTCTTACCTACTTGAGCTTTTCTCCAATCATAATCCACAAATTTCTAAACCCAATACTCATTAATCCATCAACTAAACTCAAGAAAAAACCTAGTTATATCTTATCAACAAAATTTTGTGTAGAGCTTCATATCTCATTACAAAAAAAAATATATTATCGTTTACTAATGTTTTTGTATTTCAAAAAAATAATAATTAACAAAAGTATATATAAAATATATTATTTGCACAATAATCATGAAATAAATTTTAAAATTTTTAAAAAATTAAAAGCTAATTCAATCTAATCGGATGAAAAAAAAACAACGGCGATGATTAGACGATGAAACCAAAATATTAGATCGAAATGATTCTTTTTGCTTTGAAAACTAACTCAGACCGCTAACACCGATACTAGAAATCGAAAATTAACCGCAACTGTGTGGATTCTGGAACTTTCTACAGAGATCGAGATGCTCTACATATAAAACATTATTAAACTTCCAAAAAAGACCTTAAAGATTTAAAGATAGTCGGACACTATCATCAACCTCAATTTGCAATCGCAAGCTCTCTGAATTTGTGTGAGAAAACATCATAGAACTAAAGGAGGAGAGAGAAGAAGAACAGCAAAACTGAAGAAGAGAAAGAGAGGAGAAGCACCATCACCACGAAAGATGGGTGTGGACTATTACAAGATCTTACAGGTTGATAAGAATGCCAAAGACGATGATTTGAAGAAGGCATATAGGAAACTTGCAATGAAATGGCACCCTGATAAGAACCCAAACAACAAAAAAGAAGCTGAAGCTAAGTTTAAGCAAATTTCCGAAGCCTATGATGTAAGTTTTCATAAGGGTATTGCAAAATTTTAAGCTTTTTTCTGAAATTAGGAGTGGAACAGTGGAACTCAATTCAAAGTTTCATCTGGGTGATGCTCCCTTTTTGTTACTCTATTGTGATTCTAATGTGTTTTCGCAAAATTTTGAGCCTTTTTCTCGAATTAGGAGTGAAGCAGTGAAACTCAATAAAAAAATTTATCTGGGTGATGCTCACTTTTTGTTATTCTATTGTGATTCTAATGTTTTTCTGTAAGGGTATTGCAAATTATTTAGCTTTTTCTGAAATTATAAGAAAAACAGTGAAATTCAATAAAAAAATTTATGTGGGTGATGCTTACTTTTTTTTCTCTTTCTGTTGTTATTATTGAAGGTGCTTAGTGATCCTCAGAAGAGAGCTATCTATGATCAATATGGGGAAGAGGGTCTGAAGGGTCAGGTTCCACCACCTGATGCTGGTGGTGCTGGTGGTGGAGGAGCTACTTTCTTTTCCACAGGAGATATCCCGGGATCGTTTCGGTTCAATCCCAGGAACGCTGATGACGTTTTTGCGGAGTTTTTTGGGTTCTCAAGCCCCTTTGGTGGCATGAGTGGAAGAGGTGGTGGTGGTGGTGGCATGAGATCAAGGTTCTCTGGTGGAATGTTTGGTGATGATGTGTTTCGATCTTTTGGGGAAGGAGGAGGGGTACATATGAATCAAGGTGCACCTCGCAAAGCTCCTCCTATTGAGAACAAGTTGCCCTGTACTCTCGAGGATATATATAAAGGGACTACGAAGAAGATGAAGATCTCTAGAGAAATTGCAGATGCCAGTGGGTGAGTAGTTGTTATTACTTGGTTATTTCAGTTTTTTGTTTTTTTGGTATCTGTAACATGATCTCTAATATGGTCAATTTTGTGCATTATTGAAAGGATTGAACTTCAATTTGGTTGTAAGTAAAAGCATATATTGGATCCACTGAAGGAGAAATTAATTGACCCTAAAACATGACTGCTTCCAATTATGATTTAGTTCATCATCAATAAGGTCTGCTATTTTCATTTGGTTTTATTTTGAGTGCATGGCGTGAAAAATTACTATTGAGAGCTAATGCTTCTTAAATGGCTGTCCGTTATGGATGCCATTTTAGTTGTTGAGTGGTTTCCGTTTTTTATCAGTACATCTAATTTCATCTTCTGTGGGCAATTGTTGAGCCTTGATTGATAGGTGTTTTAGTTTTTGTAATGGTTAATGATTTATAGGTGTGGATTTCCATTAATTTAAATGTTGGGATTAAGGATTCTTCTAGTAAAATTTAGTAGGTGGTTATAGCTAAAACTTGAAAGGGTACACTGAACCTTCATTCCCTTGACCTTGAGCATCAAAAGTATTAGGATTTTTTTTCTTATTTATTTTTTAGATAATATGTTTGAATGAAATTCTGATATTTTTTGGTGTGCTCAAGAATGTCACCTTTATTCTAACCAAAATAATAAAGGAAATGGAGGTGGTGAATTTCATTTCTCGAATTGTTATATTAATACAAGATGAGAGAGCATCTTCATTCCAGATTGTACTTTTGGTTTCTTTTTCTGTTGTGGTAATTGCTTATTGATAGTCTTCATTTAATGATGCATTCTCTTTTCCTGTGACTACAGTAAAACCATGCCAGTGGAGGAGATATTGACCATTAATGTGAAGCCTGGTTGGAAGAAGGGGACAAAGATCACCTTCCCAGAGAAGGGAAATGAACAGCCAAATGTGACTCCTGCAGATCTTGTTTTCATCATTGATGAAAAACCACATGGTGTCTTCACTCGTGATGGAAATGATCTGATTGTCACCCAGAAGATTTCTCTTGTGGAGGCCTTAACTGGCTATACAATGCACCTCACTACCTTGGATGGTAGAAACTTAAACATACCAATCAACAATGTTATTCATCCAAACTATGAGGAGGTTGTCCCAGGAGAAGGAATGCCAATTCCCAAGGATCCATCAAAGAAGGGGAACTTGAGGATAAAGTTCAACATCAAGTTCCCAACACGGATCACTGATGAACAGAAAGCGGGAATAAGAAAACTCTTAGCTGCCTCAGCTTGAGATCAAATATAGATGGATATGATAATGTATAATATTTGGCAGATATGCACTACTTTTATGAAATTTTGTTAGCTTTACCAATAAGTTTGGTTGCTTCCACATGTATTGTCACGTAGTGAAAAATATTTGATTAGATTATTTTGTATGATTTATCAGTTAACGGGTTGTCCGGATTGTCTCATTGCAAAAATGAAGGATAAGGGTGTAAGCAATCAAAGTTGATTTTTTTTTTTTGAGCTCTTTTATCAGTTAACGGGCAGTGATTATGCAACGTTCAAATTAATATGAAACTTCTGAGATCTTAAATAGAAACTTTTTGATCTGTACTATAACCCGGATAAAAATTGCATAAGCAAGGTACGTCTAAATAAAATTTGAAATATATACTAAACAAACGATGTCCAATTTGAAAATCAGTATGTCTGTCAGTCCAAGATTTCTTCTCTTATATTATATATCCTAGAGATAATTTTTTTTTAAATATTATTATTTAAAAAAATATATATTAAACTGTAGTATTTTTGAATTAATTTACGGATTTACAGCCATCAGTCACGTTAAAATTAGATAGGATTGGTCAAGTCTCATTTACAAAAAGTCAATTTTGATGTGACCAAATTTTTAATAGCTAATGAAGAATTGATATATTGGTAATAACAAAGATTAAAAATGCACATACAACCTTGAAAATATGAAAAGTCACGTATGCATATTAAAAATAATATTATATAGAAACATGGATTACAAAATTATTCCCGACCATCGCCATAAAATATGGACTTTGATTTTCTCATGTTGCAAAAGAATTGAATTTTTATATTGTGATTTAATTAATAGTGAATCTCTCCTTTTTTTAAAAGAGAAAAAATAAAAGAAAAGCTTTACACACATGTCGAAGGGTCATAACATAATAATTCAATTCTCATGTAATAGGAGAAAATATTTTTCATAAAATATATGCACTACACCATAAACGGTCAAGGCCACCAATGAATTCTTATCTTTGCTTGGAAAGATAAAATAAAAAGCAGATACAACCTTCTTGAAAATATAAAAAAATAATAATAATAGGTATTTAAATTATTATAAAATTTTATCATGCCTCTCTCCATTTTCCCCTTAATAATTTGGGAAAAATATTTTTTCAGTCACGGGAGATAAACCTATCTCCAATGAACTTTTAGGATTATAAAATTAAAAAATTATAATTATAAATATTAATATAATCCTGCAATATATTAGAATTATAAAATTATTTTGATTTCGCTCAAAAATGACATCATTTTAAACTTACCAGAAATAACTTATCTCCTGCAAAAATTAATTACTCTAATAATTTATTTTGAGAGCATGTGTTCGAATCTTTACAGTACCACCTTTGGGAGGGGTTTAAAGCCTTAATCCTAGACCCACCCCGAATCGGATTAATTACGAAGCAATGAATTGATTGGAATATTTCCAAAAAAAAATAATTTATTTCGAATATGGGGTGATACGATATCTCGGGTCCCTCGAATAAGAGATATATACAACGGTTAATGAAGGATTATGCACGTGATAAGTATTTGCTTAGAATTGACAAGAGCCAACTGTAGAGCAAATAATGTTCATAAAGTTTTTGAGCAAATAATGAGTTGACTCCCTGAGTGTCACCTGCAGAGTAATATAAGCTAAGACTAAGAGCACTATTTTTCCAATGAATTATATTAATCTAATGACGACCATCACCATTCTATATATTTCTAGGAACGAGACATTTATTTTAATTAACATAAAATCAGTAAGAGATGGCAAAACAAGTCAACTCTGCTTGACCCGACCCAATCTATTTGCAACCCGAAAAAATAAGCAAGATTAGAATTGGCTCGAAAAGAAAACGAGACAAAAAAATTCAACCAAACCCGACCCGAGTCGGGTTAGGGTTAGTCCACGGGTTGGCTAGAAAAAAAAAAGTCTTTCACACTCATTCGATACATGTGGTGAGAAAGCAAAGAAAATAATTTTCATTTGATATAAGATATTTACTACAAAGAAAAACACTAAATATAATCACTACTTACTAGCCACTAAATATGCTAAACATAGCACCAATGAATACTCAAGTTTCAAGTCCAACAAGACATATTGCTAAACCAAATCAAGTTTCATGACCATTAGACCCCCACGAAGAAGAGCAACCCAAAATATATGGGAAATACTATCATCATCATTATCTACAAAACACAAACCAAAAAATATTGTATGCGTTTGGGATTTAGCCTTTATGTTTCTATTTTCTTTGAACAGATCTGACCCCCTAATTATTTTTTCGTATTCTTTTAATAAAAAAAAAGATAACCCGTGAACTGATTCGTTTGACCTGCGGATTAACTCGGTTTTTTCCGAGCTGGCTCAAGTTGTCAGCTCATTTTTGCCAACCTAACCCGACTCATTTTATGCGTGTTACGAGCCAACCCGACGAGAACTTAGCTATGTTGTGCATGGAAATTCTTAAATATTATATCGTGTGTTCTAATCTGCAAAATTAACTTGAAGTGGGAAATTTTAGGGATTCATTGATCAGTGGCGAAGCTAAGATTTTATTTTCCTATGGGGGGTCGAAATATCGAAAGACACATTTCTTTGAGAACTGAAATTACAACGACCTAACATCTTCCTTTTCTACATACTTCAAATAACCAATAGGACAAAAGAAAGAAATAACCTACTAAAGCAAAACAAATACAATTTTACCATACATTTTCATTTTTTTAATGAGGCTTGAATTTTTATCCTCTCTAAATATCAGAACAAGCAGAGTGAACCAATCTTCAATTTTTTTAATAATATGAGAGAAAAAGAGAGTGAGAGAGAGTATGGTAGATGCCACCATCTCAACTAGGATTCATGTTAGGCAAAAAAATGGCATCAGAGCATGCAACGATCGAAGTCCTTGGGTGCCAACTAAATTCACAACTCAGCTTGTTGAACCATAGGTCTTGAAGATTATGATATTAAAGTTTTGATGATAATAAAGCACCTCAAAGGACCAACATAGCTCAATATGGATGCTCTCGATGGAAGGTATGACAATAAGTCCTTAATAGTACTAGAAGACCAAATCAAAGTGTAAAATTGATAAGGCTACTCAAATGTGCAAACTCGAGCTAGAAGTCAAAATTTTTCAAGTTAGTATAGAAGGCTCAAATCATGAAGACTATTGAAGACAAAGAAGACTTAATGCTCTTACTGTTTGTAATAAGTTTTAGAGTTATAGAAACTTTAAGATTGAGTTTATTGAGCTTTAACTTGAAGGTTGCATTAATAGGTCACAAACTCATGTATTAGTGACATACACTTAGATCCTGCATACAAGATCACACACACATGGAGAGTTGTTATACAAGTATGAGACGTGATCATAAATATGCTAGATGTCACTAGAAATCTTTTAGAAGTCACTAAGATTCAATTAGATTGAAAAACCAACAGAAAAATAGGTTTCTAACATGAAGTAATCGAATACTTTTTGAAAGTAATCGATTATCCCACGAAAAGAAATCAATTACTATCTGCTAAGTAATTCGAATTTTTAGATGTCTAACGGCTATAACCGGTTAGTAACTCGATAAGATACCTATATAAATATATTCTTAGGGTTTCTGAAAAAGAATTAACATTGGAAAACATTATAACATATAGAATTCAAAAAGAACCCTCATTTGGATTACTTTTGCATATCTTTGAGAAAAAGCTCAATTACTCTCTTGTTTCTTAATCTTTTTCTGATCTTTTTTAGAATTCTGAACGTGGGGAGGTTGCCCCTACATCTGTTTGAACGGATTTGATTGTTGTAATCATTTGTGAGACAAGTGGAGTGATCCTAAGGGTCTTAGGTTGAGTGTGGTCAAGGTGTGATCATAGACTTGTGAAATTCTTCTTGTAAATTGGTTTTTCTGGAACCGGTTGGAAGCTAGAACATAGTTAAATAGATCAAACTTAGTCTAGATGTAGCTATCAAATGGATAGAAAGTGAACCAAGATATATTCCGGTGTGATTCTTCCTTTACCTTATCTCTTTGATTTCAATGCTTATAACTAGTTTTCTAGATTATACATGTTATATTGAATCTGTTTAAGATCTGGGAATTATTAGTTTTCAGTTTGATTTCGTTGTTGAATGTTTTCTCGAAGAGTGTATTGAATTACATTGATTTTCTTATCTTTTACCTTCTCTTTTTGATTCCTCTATTAATCCTCTAAATCACATTTTATGTAATATGTTTTAATTCTCTTTTTGTGTTAGGAAAAGGTTGATGTTTTATAAATTTCATTTTGGTTGATTTTCTAGTAAAGAGTTTTTTGTTTTTTATTGTTTATACAAAAGAAGTAACACACAATTCACTCTGCTCTTGTGTGATTGTTTAGCCATCATTTCCTTTCGCAGCCATCCCTTATTTTTGGAAAAACCCAAATCATTCCATGGTACTATGTTGCGTAAAATCGGAAAGTGCACCGATCGTACCAAGTAATAAAAGAGAGAGTAAGAATATCGTCCCACGAGGATTGAGGCACCTAAGTTGTTATAACTATTCCTCTCTTGTTGGATAAATCAAAATAGGTTGAGAATAATTGTGGTTTATAAAATAAACTAAAACAATTAAAGAAAAAATGTAAATGATTCCAAAAGTGCTTTCAGAATGCAAGAACAAAAGATTAAGGATGGAGAAAATATTTGAGAAAATATTGCGGTAAAGAGAAACAAACACCTTTCCGATCCCCACCTTGCCACTTGGATTACGTTTACATTTACCTATTCAATTGATCAAATGATTCATCATCTTTTATATGATTAGTTAAGCCTTAATCTCTTAGTGACTTTAACCTTATTAGCTCTATTAGAATCCTAATCCCTTAGAAATCCCTTTTCAAGTTAACCCTTAGAATCAATGAATCTTTAACGTTCGCGGTTCATGTAGCCTATTCCCAGTGCGTATATGAACAGTTATCTTATTCTTTGTCAGGAATTAGAATTCCAACATCCTTATTGAAAACCCTAACCCTCGCAATCCTACTAGATTGATCAGTTCCAATAGAATTATTGAAAAAAGAACAAGAAAAGATAAATTCAATTAAAATAGATAAACGTAAATTTCAACCAAGGTACAAGGGGTTCACATCAAGGGTTGTGACCCTTACCACAATGATAAAACTAGCCAGACATGTTCATGTCTGACAAAATAAAAGTAAAAGAAATTGACATTCAAAACCTAAAAGAGAAAAGGAAGATGAAGATCTTCCGTCTTGATCAATCGAATCCTTGAATCTCCAAGAAGCTCCAAGGAATTCCCACTCTCTTTGTTGTTTTTCTCTTCTTGATTGTCCAAAAGTTCCTCCTTCGTATGTTTCTGATCCTTTTATTAGGTTTTGGGATAACCTACTTCGTTTGCACTCCAACTGGGCCTTCTTTTGGGTAATTCTCATCAGATTGGAGTCAAAAAATATATCGCCCGCGCACTTTGCACCAGTCCTGGCCGTGCTTGGGAAAACAAAAGAGGATATGCAAAAATGGCACACCGTGCGCCGCCTCCCGCGAGCCGTGCGCGCCGCCTCCCGCGCTCCGTGCGCTGAGATACAGTAGCAGTTCGTCCAAAATGGCGCGGGGTACGCCAGGTTCCGCGCACCTTGCGCCGGTCCCGTGCACCGTGCGCCGACTTCAGCGCGTCGTGCGCCAGTGAGAACTTTGGCTTCTCCGCTTTTTCTCCTTTTTGTGGCATTTCCTGCTATTAAAACACATAACTTGAGTAAGAGCATGATTGAAAAGGAATAATCAATATTTCTTGCATTTAATGACTATTTTCACATATTTATGATTAATTCCTTACTTCTTTTAAGTTAGAAAGCATCATATGCTTAACGCACATCAAACAATTCCCAGATTTAGATGTTGCTGTCCTCAGTAATAAACAAAATTAAAGCATGGGAAGCAGGGTTTAATTAATCAAGCATAACATTGCCCAGACAATCATAAAGATTACTATACTAAGCATGAATGATTTCCAAGTCAAAGCTTAAAACGATGCTTATCAACTACATTCAAATATCAGAGTCTACTTGATTACCCCTCACAAGACATAATATTCACTCATCACTCAGTGTTTGAGGGTATTCATCATCACTCATTCCATCGCAGCTATTGTACTACCATAAGCTTGATCTTTTTCTCAAGTTCCTAAAGATGAGGAACATCAACACATGCATGATTGATCAAAAGGGCTTCTCAAGGTTATAACTTGGCTTGGCTTAAGGTTAGGATCTTTTGAAAAATGGCTGAATAATCATTGAGATTGAAACACCATTTTCGTTAAGACTCAATCATCTCTCAATTCAATTTTTAGCTCCACTTTTTATTTGAATTCATGATTCCTTCCTTTTTCTCACCCTTTTCCTTCATCATTGCTTTTCAATTTTTGCAATTTACTTTTCTTCCTCTTTAAATTCATGTGGGAACTATTCTTTTCTTTTCCTCTTCAACTGTTTAACTTCTAGTGGAGCTTACCTCAATCACTTCTAACTTTTTGATTATTGACATTTCAATCTCAATTAAGGTAAGTTCTGATGGAAGTGGTCTAAACAGTTTAATAAGGTAATTGAACAAAAATGGTCTCAGGCTCAACATGGCTAGCAATGGATGATTTCTCAAGTAGCTATTTGGTCATAAGCTTAATAGAACAAAATGCCTCTATCACTTCAATCAACACATGCATTGGAGAGAATTAGATCAAGTTCTAGAGTACTACTGCAATAAGGACTCTCAATAAATTAGTTGTATAGGCACAAACCTCACAAGCTGTAGTATCAAACTAGACTCTTCCTAATTTCATTCCAAGCATCATTATCCATTATTAACATAGAAATCAAACAAACGAGCAATCATAATCTCTATTCATGCTCTATGCAATGTCATGACAATCCTGTATGTCATGCAATGCTTCCTCATTTGCAACCAAGGAATTGACCGAGTAGCACATCTAAATCAGAATTGTGCTTTCGTCTAGCAGGAAATGAAACTAAAAACAAAACAAAAAAAAATTTCTACCAAAATGAAAATAACTGGAAAGGTTAAAATAACTCCCCGGAAGTGGCTATGAATCTGCTGAACCTTTTTCTGTGTGCGATACCTCAATTTCCGCGTACGCGGCCAATTCCTAGATTTAGAACATTGTTGTCCTCTGCAATAACTAAACTAGTTGGAGAAAATAACTGCTGCGCAAGTAAAAACAACACCCGCATGTGAAATATCAGGCAAAAAATAACATGACCAATGTACTGGGGAATTACAAAACCAAAGACCAAATATGTCTCAATGATCCTAAGTAGAAATGAAAAACATCAAAATAAAAATTAAACACAAATAAAGGAAAGGAAATAAAAAATAATAATAATAAAAACCCATTGGGTTGCCTCCCAAATAGCGCTTGTTTAACGTCACGAGCCTTACGTACTCTTTGTGATCATGGTGGCTGGTAACTCGGGCTCAGTGATGACATTATACCCTTGCTCAGAATTTGTGTCCTGCCATGGTTATACTCATATGCATGTGGATAAGGAGGAGGGCTTTCAGGAACTTTAAACTTAGTTTTCACATGCTTTTTCTTGCTCTTGGGTTATTCCATCTTAACATTTGGCTTGTGTTCTTCATGTAGCTGATGGACTTCCTTCTTGTTCCCTTCCTCAACCTTTTTCTCAGTAATGTAGTTGACTTGATTCTTAGGTTGAGAAGCAGGCAATGGAGGAGCTTCATTTATAAGTACTTTGAATATTGCTTGCTCTCCATCCACGCGCATTATCAACTCACCCTTAGGTACATCGATTAATGCTCCTGAGGTTGCTAAGAATGGCCTCCCGAAGATCATAGGCACACTGGCATCTTCATCAATGTCAAGGATAACAAAATCAACAGGAATTAGAAATTTGTCTACCTTGACTAGCACATCTTCCACAATACCATGTGCTTGCTTTGTTGAGCGGTCGGCTAGTTGAACATTCATCCTAGTTGGCTTCACTTCATTAATTCGCAGCTTCTTCATCAGGGTTAATGGCATCACATTAATGCTGGCACCAAGATCGCATAAGACTCTCTCTACAGTTGTCTTGCCAATGGTGCATGGAATACTGAAGCTTCCTGGATCCTTCAACTTTGGAGGAATATTTTCCTGTAAGATTGCACTAAACTCCTCTGTTAGTGTAATCGGTTCATCCTCTGTGAGCTTCCTCTTCTTAGATAATGTTTCCTTCAAGAATTTGGCATATGAAGGCATTTTCTCCAAAGTGTCTGCAAAAGGAATATTAATCTGCAATTTCTTACAAATATCTAAAAATTTAGACAATTGCTTCCTTTACTCATTTTGCTTGGGCCTCATTGGATATGGAGGTTTCTCAAAACGTGAGAAATCTCATTGCTTCTTTTGAACTGCAGGAGATTGTTCCTGTGCTTCTTCTTTATCCTTTTGAGCTTGTTCATCCTTTCTTGTAGAAACTTCAACTTTCTCTTTTCTAGCTCCTCATTCCTTGTAGTGATGACATTGCATTGCTCCTTTGACACTGCATTGCTCCTTTCTTGACTCCTCTCAGCTAGTTGTCTTGAATGTTGGCCAATTTGAGTCTCCAAGTTTCTGATGGATGCATCTTGGTTCTTGTTGTAGGCTCTTGTCTCATTCATGAAGGCATCAGTAGTCTGCATGTGATCATTGGTGGTCTTGGAAAGCTGTATCATTGCTTTCTCCAACTCTGATGGCTCTTTATGTGGAAGGGGAGGGGGTTGCAGGTAATTGTTGGATTTATAATCCAAGCCTCCCCCTTGATTTCTCCTTTGAAAGTTGATGCCTTGGGCACCATTCTGATTCCTCTGAAAGCTTTGGGTATTTTGTGGTGGTCTTGGATCATACCAAACTCCATTGACCTGGAACGATTCAGCTCCCATGGGTGTTGGGCACTCATTAGTCTCATCTGCTCCTTGTAGTACTCACAGTTAAATAAATTAACTTGAGCTGTCGAGACTTGCATCTTATCTAGCTTGGCATTCATACTGCCTAGCTGTTGAAAGATCATCTTTTGCTCAGCTAGTGATGCATCATTGTTCCTCAGTTGTAAGATTCCTTTCTTGGGCTGAACAGGTTGGATTGTCATAGATGCATTTTCATTCCTTGCCATAAAATCAATCAGCTCTAAGGTTTGAGCTGATGTCTTCTTTTCTATAGTTCCACCAGCTGCACCATTGATAATCATTCTGGAGTTTGGTGTCACCCCATTATAGAAGACTCTGACCTTCTTGGTATCTGACAAGTCATATTGTGGGCACTTTCTGATCAACTCCTGGAATCGGGTCCAGGCTGCACATAAGTTCTCTCCCGGTTGTTGAGTGAAGTTGGTAATTTCATTTACCAACTTGTTGTAATTTTCCATAGAAAAGTGCTCAGCAAAAAATTTAGCTGCCAATTCCTCCCATGTTCTGATATTATTAGGAGCATGTCGATCTAACCATTTGAGAGCTCTCCTGGTCAAAGCAAACGGGAACAATCGGAGTCTGATCGCATCATCTGTCACTCCGTTGTGCTTAGTTGTATCACGGATTCTTAAAAATCTGTCTATGAAGTTGTGAGGATCTTCATAGTCTTCCCCACCAAACTGAGTTTTCTCCACCAACGTGATTAGTGCTGGCTGGATGTCATAGTTATTGGCAACAATTGATGGCTTGACAATTGTAACACCCCGTATATATCTAGTAGTGTTATCATTACATCGTATTAAGCTATGCTTAATTAAAAATGCGGAATATTCTTTTTCTTTTCAATTATGACGTCATTATCAATTACCAACTTGATTACTTAATCAATTTCATAAAATATCGCCTGAATGTAAATTGCAATAAAACATCTACTGAAATACCTCAATATAACATATAAAGTGAGTATCTAAGTCACGGCATTACATCACGTAATCCGGACAATATCCTGATACATTAATACAACTCTAATAAAAGCAAGACATAACAAGTCTACGTGGCATGGACAATCCTCATGCTCACCAAATCAACAGCGTCTCAACAAGATAATCCAAAATCATAACATGAAGCTAAAAACATAAAAATAGCAAGCATATCCAGCATCCAACATGTTAGCATATAATGTCATCATTATCTAACTCAGCTCCAGCCTCCTGCCGCCTAAGGTCTCAACATTACCTGACCCTGAAATAAGCATTCCCCAAACGTGGGGTGAGATCTCTAAACCAGAAATCTCAGTAAGACAAGGGGTCCTCAAGGATCTTCCACCCCAAGCTCACTTACATGTGCAATATAAGTTCTAAAAGCATTTATATCAATATAAGTTCCAAAACAATGCAGTGCAACAGATATTCATGCCATGTGTGTTTATCACTATTCTACTGGCCAGAGAAATGCAGGAATACGTCTATTACCCACACGTAGTACAAGGAACACCTCTTGCACCTCACCCACAGCCTCACCATCTTGTATGTACCACATACTCAGGCTTACCGTATAGGTGGAACACCACATGCATATCATAAAGGCACTAGCATATAACAGCTCAATAGTATTTCCAAAACATCAAAAGCATGTAACACAACATGCATATAACCATACCCCCATGGGACATGGTGGAACCACAACATGGCCAAACCGAGGACACGAAAGCTTACCTTGCAAGCTCACTATCCAATGCAAAGGTTCCTCATAGCTCAAGTCCAACACACAGCAGATCACAATCTGATTTAGGACCAGCAAGTGTATCAACATGCATAGCTCAAAAGCATTAACATAAAGACTACGTTCTCCTTTAACGATTTATGTCTTAAGGCTTCCAACAAAGCCACAAGCCCTTAATCACAAGATTCAGACTTAGTTCATTAATTACAGAAGTTCAACTTCATCAATCTACGATCCACAAACCCCCAATAGCCTGCTGTACACACATCACAACTACTGTTCTTCGAAATCCCAGAATATCCGGATATTCCTCGGGGTATATTCGGATATGCAATATCCGGATATCAATATCCGGATATTTCACGAGCAAATATCCGGATATTTCGCGACAGAATGCAGTTTCTGCATTTTCGCGAAGATATCCTTCCAAGGTTGGGTTTTTACTGAATTCAGACACTAAGACATGCATTTCTAGGTGTGTTTGCATTACCCAACGTTAGGTTATCATCTTTTAATCATTACATGCATCAAGGTTTCATTTTTAAGCATTAAACTCATGATCAAAGGTTGGTACAACATACCAAAGCTCAAAACAAAAAGACAAGGGCTCTTGGAGCTCTCCAAACAGCTCCAACACTTCTGACTTCCAAGGAAAGCAAAAATGGCTCAACAAGATGAGTTCTTTCTTCCCCAAAGGTGATACTTTGTAGCTCAAAATGCCTTAACAAAGGCTCAACCAACTCAAACTCACCAACTCAGCCTACCACCCTCAAACACAGTAGCTGGAACACCAAGACAAAGCTATCTCTCACCCTCACAAAGCCACCCACAAGTGTTTACAAGGAGGAAATGTGAAGAAAATTGAGAAAGATCACAACTTGGCTCAAGAAATGGAAGGGAAGGCCAATGGAATAGTAACCAGCAGATGTCAGCCCCAAACTCACGTATAGAAAACTGATCCTAGGGTTTTGTGCCCATAATAAGAGTATTTATAGCTCAAACACACTTAAACACACAGTATTAACTTTAATTGCTACGTTTAGCATTTTAATCCCAAACTCAGGATTAGAATTTTAATCCCAAACTCAGGATTCTTAAACTACACAATTTTACAAGAATTATCATATTTTTATTATATTTTTCGGAACAACTTTCTGGTACGCGCTTTTCATAGCCAGTATCAGTTTCTGGCACCAGTTCTTATTATTTGGACTTGAAACTCGTTTTACAAGTCCTATATGTTATTCTAGTAATTTTCATGCACTTATTATAATTTTTCGAGATACTTTTTCGGTACGCATTTATACCGACTAGCAGAACCGGTATCTGCACTTTTCTTCCGAAAAGCGACTCTCAGCCCTCTTAATAATTATTAGGGTCAATTATGGAATCATTTCCTATTTTCTCATAATTAATCAGTTAAATTCCTTATTTAACGGTGCAGGTTATTACAACAATGCTCGAGTTTGGCCTTGTGAACTGCAGGGCCAAAATTGATTCCATCAACTCAGCTGCTGGTGGATCTTGAGCTGCCATCTCTGTTTCTACTTCAAACTGTGGAGTAGAAGTTTCTGCTTGCCTTCTCTGCCTGGTAAGTTTTCTTAATCTCTTTGTAGTCCTTTCTATCTCTGGTTCGTAGATCAAAGTTTCAGGATCAACTGTACCACGCATAAACTAAAGCAAACAGATTAGTAACACAAAATCCAATCAAGAAAATCAAAAGTTATAAATAACTTGGCGTAGTCAATCCCCGACAACGGCGCCAAAAAATTGTTGCGTAAAATCGGCAAGTGCACCGATCGTACCAAGTAATAAAAGAGTGAGTAAGAATATCATCCCATGAGGATTGAGGCACCTAAGTTGTTATAACTATTCCTCTCTTGTTGGATAAATCAAAATAGGTTGAGAACAATTGTGGTTTATAAAATAAACTAAAACAATTAAAGGAAAAATGTAAATGATTCCAAAAGTGCTTTCAGAATGTAAGAACAAAAGATTAAGGATAGAGAAAATATTTGAGAAAATATTGCGGTAAAGAGAAACAAACACTTTTCCGGTCCCCACCTTGTAACTTGGATTACGTTTACATTTACCTATTCAATTGATCAAACGATTCATCATCTTTTATATGATTAGTTAAGTTTTAATCCCTTAGTGACTTTAACCTTATTAGCTCTATTAGAATCCTAATCCCTTAGAAATCCCTTTTCAAGTTAACCCTTAGAATCAATGAATTTTTAACGTTCGCGGTTCATGTAGCTTATTCCTAGTGCGTACATGAACAATTATCTTATTCTTTGTCAGGAATTAGAATTCCAACATCCCTATTGAAAACCATAACCCTCGCAATCCTACTAGATTGATCAGTTCCAATAGAATTATAAAAAGAAGAACAAGAAAAGATAAATTCAATTAAAATAGATAAACGTAAATTTCAACCAAGGTAAGAGGGGTTCACATCAAGGGTTGTGACCCTTGCCACAATGATAAAACTAGCCAGACATGTTCATGTCTGACAAAATAAAAGTAAAAGAAATTGGCATTCAAAACCTAAAAGAGAAAAGAAAGATGAACATTTTCCGTCTTGATCGATCGAATCCTTGAATCTCCAAGGAACTCCCACTCTCTTTGTTGTTTTTCTCTTCTTGATTGTCCAAAAGTTCCTCCTTCCTCTATTTCTGTTCCTTTTATTAGGTTTTGGGAAAACCTACTTCACTTGCACTCCAACTGGGCCTCCTTTTGGGTAATTCGCATCAGATTGGAGTCAAAAAATATATCGCCCACGCACTTTGCGCCAAGCCTGGCGCACCGTGCTTGGGAAAATAGAAGAGGAGCTGCAAAAATGGCGCACCGTGCACCGCCTCCCCCCGCCGTGCGCCGCCTCCCGCGCACCATGCGCCGGGTTTGCGCGTCGTGCACCGGCTCCCGCGCTCTGTGTGCCGAGATGCAGTAGCAATTCGTCCAAAATGGCGTGGGGTGCGCCAGGTTCTACGCCCCATGCGCCGGTCCCGCGCACCGTGCGCCTACTTCAGCGCGTCGTGCGCTAGCGGGAACTTTGGCTTCTCCGTTTTTGCTCCTTTTTGTGGCATTTCCTTCTATTAAAACACATAACTTGAGTAAGAGCATGATTGAGAAGGAATAATCAATATTTCTTGCATTTAATGACTATTTTCACATATTTATGATTAATTCGTTGCTTCTTTTAAGTTAGAAAGCATCATATGCTAGACGCACATCATACTCTCAATCTATTTCCCTTGAAATTCGCACTCGAACTATTAGGTTCCAAATCAAACAAGAATAATTGGCCACTTTCAAACAAAATAAAGCTCTCTTCCAGTATATGAGGACTCCAACAAGCATGCACAATAAGGCAAGTCTTAAACACTTTACCACCAAGATAAAGCACATTGGGCCTCTCCAAAATCGAATTATGCTTCACAACAAACCAATAAATAGAATAAAGTGTAGAAGCCAACAAATACCCAATAACATAAGAAGAATTACCCAACAAACTAGAAGCTCTAAGAGCAAAATCAACAACTGGGTTCACGAAATCTTGAAGATTCAGTGAGAGGATCCACTAGCAGCCCGAAAAAATTGCCATTGTTGTTTTTTTATGTTTATTGTTCTTAGCTCCCTCTCCTTCTTCCTTGCTTCTCTCATCTTACTTAGACTTTTTTTTTTCAAATTTAGGGGGGGGGCGCCCACCCTAGCCCCCTTGGCTTTGCCCCTGTCATTGGTGGGCGTGCCCGTTCATGGTGTAGTGATGATCGGGGATGATTTTGTAGTTCACGTGGCTTTTAGTATTTTCTCATATTTTCAAGGTCGCATGTACGTCGGAGGCATTTTTAATCTTTGTTATTCCCAAGATACCAATTCTTCATTATCTATTAAAACTTTGGTTAGATCAAAATTGACTTTTCGATTCATAAAGAAAATGAAGTATAAAGTATAAACCACTCCTAGAGGCCCCTTAGTTTTCCCACTTCCCTATCTCCTCAACAATGTTACTTCATCGTCTCTTAATCTCTTTCACAAGAATTTCATCATCTCCAATCTCACTGTGTCTATTACTCTATTACAACAATTCCAGCAACTCTGATAAACCCGAGCCAGCAATTTGGCACTCCTTTTTCACCATGTTAGCCTCTGAATCAACGATTTTTCAGCAATAAAATCAGTACTAAGAAATTCGGCAACAAGATAAGTTTTTGACCATATCACCTTCAATGAAATATTATTGCATAGATCTCAAAAAATTATGTGAAATAAAAAAAATACCTAATTCGAATACTCAATTTAAAAGTTATAGCCTTTTGAAATTTTACGATCAAACTGTTGATTTTTTTGTACGTGTTAATGCCGGGTGAATTGCACCTAAACGAAGCACGACCAAGCACCAAATGTGCCTAATTAGGGCACAACCATTCACCCCCAATTTTGGCACAACTAATTGCTATAAATCCATAAATTGATTCAAAACTGTTACATTTTTTTAATTTCTTATTTAAATAATAATATTTAATTATTTTTTTTGCCATATATCCTATGTTAGAAGTTTGGTGGACATTCATCATAATGATTTCGCTGTAAACCTCAAATAATCTTCGACACATGAAATTTCTAGAGACCGATGCAAACATTTTATATCGGCAGGAGAAACAAATTTCCTTTCATCATTTTGCAGTCTACAAATTCTATCTCAAATACCTGATTCATTGGACTATTCCTACTAAATGAAATATATCAAAATTTAACTGACAGACTCTTGAGGATTCACCCTACATGACTAGAGCTGCTACTTTTAATCACTGTAGTCGGATGATGTAGAACCTATTCCATCTGGATCCATGTTTTGTTCTGGATTTTCTTCTCTGCTGTCCCTGGTATCAGAGTCCCCAATTATGTAATCTTCAACATCAACATCTACTCTCCCATCATCATCATCTTCATCATCAATACCCACACCTTCCTCATCATCCACGTTATAGTGGCTCTCTTTTACGAAGTTCTCAGACTTCCCACTAAATCCACCAAGATATCTATCATTATTATCCACCAGATAATCATACTCATCACCTGTTGCTTGATAAATATCATCTTCATAGCCTGATCTACCTGAACTACTAGCATTTAGAGCAGTGTCTTCCATTTCACCTTCATCAATCTCCTCTCTGACAAAGATACCTTTCGATGTTTCCTCTGTGATGTCTTTTGGGGTATCCCTCTCACCACTGATCACATCCACCTTGGCTGCTGCTGGTTTCTGCCCACTTCTAATGCTCCGGCGACCGCGAACAGGTCCTCCTTTTCCACATGATCTCCCTTTCCATCCAAGTAATTTACCCATTTTCCTGCTGCTGGAGGCAGTGCTTCTCTTTCTAGAATTGTATCTTGATCTAACAACCCTTCCTTGTGATCTCCCACTTTGAGAATGGCTGTGGCCTTGTCGGGTCCTTTGTCCTCTGCTGTAGCTCGTGAGTCCCGCACCAAGATTAACCCAGTTCTCTACAGTATGTTCAGCCTGATGTGAAGTCTCAATTGTATCAGCATTGTAAGAATTTTTGGCAGCAGCATACTTTGATGGAAGCTTCTGAAAGTTGGAAACGAGAAGTTGGTTGGGAAAATTCGAACAAAAACATTCATACGCCAATAATAAAAGTTAATGCCCCACAATCAATTGCAGCCAAATTAGTCTCTTTTTTCTCTTTTGAAAATTCTATTAGTATGGCAAGCAACGGAATCCCAGAAACAGGAAATAAGTTTCGATATTAGTAAAATCATGTCAGAAATAAGCTTGTTGTACTAGTACTAGAAGCAAATGAAGATCACGAGTGCTCTCATACTCGAGGAATTTATTTGTATGGCAAACCTATTGATATTCAGGTTCCTGATCCTTCCCCTTAATCCCCACTCTCAAAAAGATGAAAATAATGAAATAACGCCCCCTACATTCTTTATTTTGCTAAAATGAACCTTCTGTAAAATAACACCCCCTTTTTTCTTTTTAATCTAACATCAGACTCAGTTCTTCATCCTCCATTAACCAGCTATGTTCCCCTCACATTATTTTTAAATAGGCACATGCCAGTAGATCCAAATGCAGATAGCCGCTCAAATGAAATCAAGAATAGCAGTAACATTATAAAAATATTGAACTGGGGAAAACAATCAGTTTCATATTTATCAAGTCAACCTTGAAGCTTTGTTCTTTTCTTTTTCTTTTCCTTTTTAACGAAAAAGGAAAAAACCCAATTCAACTAAAATTTCGTAGTTGTTTATGATGGAATCAAAAGCTTAACATTTTCCATGTACATCTTATAGACCAAGTCTTGCAGGAATTTCACATAGCTTGAATATTGTTGAAAGGTAGAGGTGCTCAAGTTAATTGAACCAGGTTTACGTTCAGAAAAACAAACCAAGTCTATTTCTGGGTCGGGGACAGACCACACTTTGGGTTGGTCCTGCTGGATGTTACATAATATTTTAATAATTTTTTTAAAAAATTAAGAATAAATAATAGAACTTTTTTAATGAATGCATTATGCATAAAATAGAGGGCAAATCTGGAATAGTGGTAAAATTGTTCTCTTGTGACTGAAAGGTCACATATTCAAATTCAAATCCGGAAAATAACCTCTTTGTGATTATGCAAGGGTAAGGATACGTACAAAAATTGCTCTCACTCCACCCTCCTAGCCGGGATTTAATAGGGAGTGGTTTACATTATTCATAACGTGCTAATATTTTTTATATCAATATAATTTATTTAAAAAATTATATTATAAAACTTCTTTTAATTTTAGTTTCCTATTTTTAAAATTTTATAATTTAAATATATCTAATGTCCAAACTTACATTTGTCCAAATCTTGGGTCAACCCAATCCCAACTGGGCATTAGTTAGTTGGGCCACGGCCAGATTAGGTCTAGGTCCCAAAAATTGGACCAATGAGCATACTTTCTGAAATAAGTGCAGCCTTCTAAGTCATTTTTTTTATCCTCACTTCCGCGTCAAGACTCAGGCAGCTAATTCATTCTTCTTTTTAAATAAAAAAAAGTAGAAATTCTCCAACATTATTTTTGTTTATTTTCCTCAAAATCTTTTAATTTTTTCACTATAGTTTACAGAAGGATACTCACCATAACAATTCCAATTCTCTTATCCTTCTCAGATTCCAACTTCTGCTGCGAGGTGTAAAAGGTACACGCATCAAGTTCCATGAGCCTTAAAGCCACAGCAGCTGTTGTATATGGCACCCACGGAAGCACAGGTATGCTTTCACCACCTATGGAATCATTATTAATGGGACATCCAGAAGAACTAAAGGAACCCAACAGCTCATGGGTAGTTTCATAGTTTGAAGCCAAATACTCCCTTTTTATAGCACCTTCCAACGCAGTCAATATCTGAGAAGGATATGATGTCTTACACATTAGTAACTAGGTAAACAAATAATTAAGAAAAGCATAAAATAAACTACACATATTCCACTTCATGGTAGAAATAAAGGATAGTGTTAGAGATATATAAAACCATTAATGTAGCCTCACCCACCACCAGCTTAAGCTTTTGGGTTGAATTGATTTTTTAAATAGTATCAGAGCCTCGGTGTCACGGGTTCGATCTCGCCGCCCCCCATTTAATTAATAATTAATTAAGTCTTGTGGAATTTCTTAACACAGGTAGGTGGGTCTATGCATTGTTCACCCTTCAAATCCAGTGGACTCTCGTGTGAGGGTGCGTATTAGAGATATTTTAAATCATTAAGATAGCCTCACCCACCAGCTTAATCTTTTGGATTGAATTAGTTCTTTACAGAAAGCAAACAAGAAAACACATTACAATGCATAATAAAACCTAACATGTTTAGCAATATGGCATGAAACAATTCTGAGTTTGAGGAATGAAACGCAAAGCAGCAATATTGAATTTTAAAATGTTTAGATTTTAGACCAACACAATAACTTACTCGGCATATGCCCAACTAGTCGGGTGATATGGCTATAATATCATTGTAACTCAATGGACTTAAGAGATCATTGTGAAGAAAATTATAGTGTGTTTTAAAAACCAAACCACATCGACCAGTTGAATCGGTCAGACAATGATGGTTATGCCTCCAATTCGAATATTAGAATGTATAAATGTATTGTATTCAATTGTGTATAGAACTGTACAAAAGACCTCTATTTAAAGAGGTTAAATGACCTAATGGACCAAGCCCAAATAACCTGTTAGAAATAACAGAATAATAAATAATACAATGCTATTTAATATTATATTATTTCTAACATAGTTCAACCAGAAAATTAACGGGTTGAATATGCCAGTTCAATCTCTGGATCCGTTTGTAAAACAGTTTAGTAAAAGAACAAGAAAAATTAATATTGACAAATCCATTTAAATTTCAATAGCACACTTAAAGGGTGAGATTATTATCCACAATCCTGTTTAGTAGTATCATTGCCTTTCCCCTTGATATGTATTTTCAAATGATAATATAATCTTTAAACCAGAATAATGACCCTAGATTTCTCTCTGTCTTAATCATTTAAATATTTTCCAGCTCCCTATTCAATTATTAGCACTTCCCCACTATTGGAAACTGGGCATTGATTCAGCATTAGTTATTCTTTCTATATGCAACAGATAAGGGAAGACCAATGATGAGCTTTAAAAATATTGTCACAACTACACCACAGGACAAAAGAAGAGTGCTTAAACTTGAGACAATGAGCAACAAATGGAAGTTCTAAAGCATGCTCTATCAAGATGTGCCAGATTTATAACCTGGAGAATATCTTCAGTTGATGAGGAAGCATCCAGCTTTGCACTCCAAGATTTCCTGTAGCCATCTGTCCAAAGGGGTTGAAGAGCTTCTTGGGGAAGGGTTACCTGTCACCCATAGTGAAACACTCGGCAAATAAACAATAAACAGAGACCTTATCTGAACAACTACTCACAAATTAGTAATATGTAACTACTCGACAAATTATAGTCACAAAAAATAAATATGTAATCACCTCAACAACTGCCAAGAAGATTTTCAGCAATCTCATCCTCAAAGGAGATGAAGATGAAACATTGAAATAGTCAATGCCAATCTTCATTTTGCCTTTAGAATGAGTAACATGTTCAGAAGAACTAGAGTTACTCTTAAAAGTACTGAAGGTTCTATGGCAGGAAGGACATTGGATTCCTCCAGAGAAATAGACATGATGGCACAAATCACATATGACCAGCAGTTGGCTGCACCTCTTCTTCTCAAACTTCATTGCACATAATATTGAGGAATTTAGGCATTCCTTTCGCATCCATTCCTCAAAGTCCTGATATCTCATAAAAATATCTTTGTTCTCAGCTTCATTTCTTCCAAGCTGAACCACAAAAGATGTTGAGGTCACAGTTGCGTCTGAATTATCAATGCATACAGAAGTAGGACAGTGAATATTACTATTAGCATTACAGTCTTGGTTTTTAACCATTTCAACAACTTCTGTCTTTAGTCCGTTGACAGCATCTCCATTTTGCATTCTCATATTACCATTTAGGACATTCCTTCTCACAGATTTCCTGAAGGACATCTCAATTCTTTGCAGCATCATATGTAAGTGGGACTCCCTGATCCCTCGTACATCCAAAGATGCCAGTAGAGCATCAAAACCCTGCATGTAAGATGAAGAAAATCAACACAAAACAGAATAATGTCTAGAATAAATCAGTAAGCACAAGTACAAAAAAGCTAATTTCTATCATCCACGAGAATAAGACTTTAAATGCTCAGGAAATAATAATATCGCATAACTTTGCTAATAGTCTATGCACTTCAAAGCAGTAGACTCGATGCCTTTCACATGCAAATCATCAGTAATAAACATCTATTGCCTTAGCTACATCAAGCTTGACAGGTTAAAAAATGCACATAAAGACCACTTGCAAACCATATAATGATCATCAAAGATCAGCTCAGTCTCGGAGAAGCAATACCTCTTCAGAATCAATCAGCCTCCAACAACCATCATGCAACTCCACAAAAATCCTGCCACAGCCTGGATCATTATGAGAAGCAGATGCAATGAACCGCCAGTATCGATTATGTCTTCGATCCAAACCAAGAGGCAATGACCTATACATGTAAGTTTGCTCTGCCAGGTGGCCAATGTATGATTTTAAATTTGGCCTTGATTTTTCAGCAGCAAATCCTGATTGTTGGAAAAAATAATTATCTGGGCCCATAGAACAATCTTGCATCTGCATGTTGACTTCTAATGGAAAACTCCGAAGATGATTCTGATTTTCCTGTAGTACATTTGTCTGTTCATGCTGGCCACAGGGAGTGAACAAAGCCTCATCATTTTTGTCATCAACAGCAAGCAATGGGCTTTGTTTACCCTCTACTGTTGGAATTGCAACAGCTGCTTCATTTTTATTGCCCATATTAGAGACAGACTGCATCTTAAAAAAGTATTCCTCTTTGATACGACGTTTATCAAGCTGTGCCTCTGCCCACATCTGCTTCTTTAAAGCATTTGCTGCTTCTAAACGCTCCTGAAACATCGCTCATCAGAAATACATACATATATAGATATGTATAGCAGTTGTTTTATGGCCACCCACAATGATGAAAAATGAAAGTGTCAAACTAAAAGCGATTACCTCAAGTACAACACGAATTGAATTTCCTTCAATTGCCACACCAATCAAAGCAACAAGAGCATGAAGACGCTCCTCAACACTAAGATCCGAGTACTCTCCTTCTGCAAGCCCATGTACCCATGGTTCACCTAGAATGCCTTCATCAACTTTCATGCCTTCTAGATTAGAATTATTCACATCATTGCTGCAAACAGCAATTTCACTAGAGGCACTAACATCTTTATGTTCATTGAAGTCTTCAGCAACCTTTTGCAAAATCTCACTGTCCTTTCCACTCATTACAGTGTTTGCATTAAATTCCTCAGAATTGGAAGCCTTCTTTTTCAAATGTATTTCAGTTCCTAAATCATTAATCTCAGGATCTTCTGCCACATCACTTTCAGAATCATCATCCTTTTCACCATCATCTACTTCTACATCCATGAATCCACTTCTGAATAACCTGATTCTTTCCCTGGCAGTTGAAAAAATTGCATCAGAATCAGCTGCATCCTTTCTATATGCAGGACGTACACAATATGTTGAAGGAGCTGTCCTTTCAAATAGTTTTGTATCCCTGGACAAAGCAGCAGCTATAGAAGCCTCTGGTGTTTTGCTTGTTGTAAGATCACGAAGTCCAGATTTCTAGAAAAACAAAAAGAAATTAACAATAAAATTTAATTATTAACATGAGGCAATGAGTAAGACATCCAGTAAGAATAGTTCTACCTGAATCTTGTTTGCAACTTCCAGTATATTGAGGCCATTGCTTCCTTCAACAGAAAGGACATGAAATGCAGCAAATTTAACAGTTCCAGGTGTCAAGCGATGCCGAGATCTTCTAGGGTTAGATAATCCCTTCTCTTGCATAATAGCAACAGCATTTTTAGCTGCTGCTCCACTGCGTAGTCTAGAAATTATATCTCTACCATCATTACCCTGCACTTGCAACCCAGAAGGGGATGGAGAAACAAGCAAGACAACAAAACCAAAGAAATGGAATTAAAATCATAATTTTGATATGGAATGCTTAGATAATTTATTTCCAATGCATCACATATTATTGTTAATTATGACCAAAATCCAAATTCACAAACATGACAAGCACATACGTGCTTTATTCCACCATAGATCATTCTCAAGTTCTGAAAGTTAGAGTAATTTCCTAAAAATTCCCCAACTTTAGAAAGGGAGGAGGAGTGATTTGGATTTTGGACTCCATCCCCTCCCACCCCCAATTCGAAAGAAAAAAGTTAAAAAGCATTCATTTTTCTGCTGTTTTACATTGTATTTGATAAAATAAAAAAAATAATAAATACAAATATATAATTGACTTAATTGCATAAAATATTTTCATAACATGAAAATGATACAACCCAAGTAGGATGCAGCAGTGCATACGGCACAGTCACATCAATAATATTGAGAAATTATTTAATATAAACAACAACACACGAACGACATCCTTTATTTAGGCTTAACTCTTAAGAAAGACAACCATCCAAAATTTCACATTTGAGACATGCATATTAGATTATAATGTTGGGAACCCCAGATGCTTTCCTAAATTTTACTTCCAAAAATCTGTTGCACCTTTTTATGCGAGTTCAATTTTTTTGGACAAAGCATTGCTTTAGAAGATAAATTTTTTTTTACTTAACTGATTATTAAGGATAACTCTTTCCTCATGGTAATCATAAAATGCAAACTCTCAAAGTGAAAAAAGGTAAATATTTCAGTTGGTAACTGAAAAATAAATTACCTCATTATTATTGCAAGGATGCACCTGATCAATATTCTGTTTTTTCATTTGAGGCCCAAATCCTGCTGACAAAGCAAATTGCCGCAAAATCTCTGGCCATGTTAATGGATTTAAATGTCGCTGCCAATTTCTTATATCAAAACCCCACACATATGCCTGACAGTAGATTCCAAATAGGCTTTTTAGGTTAAGGAAAGAAATAAGAAATTACATTTAAAACTGGAAGAATGAAAAAACTTGCCCCTTCAACTACTTGTGGATGCCCCCCACCAGAGTTGGCAACATTGTTTTGGTTAGCTCCTAACCCAGTAGAGGCTGTTCTTGCAACATCTTCTATATCTTTTATAAGGGATCTCAGAAGCGCAATATGAATCTCACCTAACAACCTTGAATCCTGCAGTATTAATTGAGCAAATATACATCCATTGTCACAAAGCACTAATTTTGAATTCAAAACGATCAATATTAAGTCTAGGTTCAGTTCAGTGTATTGTGTAAATATAGTAATTAAGAAAATTGTATATTTCTTTGCTATTTTTATATTCATTATATAAATATTGAGTCCATGGAGTAGTTGAGACATGATACGCATGGTTTTCAGCATTAGCCTCTCTCTCTCTCTCTCACACACACACACACAGCATTAGCCAAAGAAGAATTTTAGGACAAACAAGACCTTGAATGGGGACCTTATAGCGAGGACATAACCTGGCAAAAAAAGGTGGAGAAAGGAATACTTACATAGTCATGAAAAGCTTGTATAAATTCATCCAAGGTAAACGGCCATACTCCAAGAACATCAGCAAAGGTAATCAAGAACCTCCAAACCTAAATATAAAGCATTTCCAATTCATCACAGTTGAGAGAAAATTTGGCAAACCACAGATAGTAACAAAATGCAATAAAAAAATAATCATATTCATCTATGAACAATTTGGTACAGCTTATTTGCTTGAAGCCATGTTGACAATAAATTTCTCCACAAGAAAAATTAAGCACAATTACAGGCTCAATCGAGGTGTTTGATGGGCCAATTGGGGCAAACGGAACACCATATGACAAAAGAACTTAACTTCCAAAGTGGTGAAGCACATCACGTGGATCAATCATTCATTTCACTGAAAAAACTAGACTAAGCACAAAATAGAATCAGTCATTTTCCACAAGATACTATAAAAAACCATTTCAACCCAAAAGCTTAAGTTGTTCAGTGAAGGCCACAATAATGGTTTTCTATCATAGTTTTCTAACACGCCCCCTAACACGAGTTCATTGGACTTGAAAGGTGGACAATGTACAAGCTCATCTACCTGTGCTAAGAAATTCTATAATATTTAATTAATTATTAATAGAATGAGGGGCAATGAGGATCAAACTCATTACCACTTGATCACGGAGGCTCAGATACCATGTAAAATACCATTTCAACCTAAAAGCTTAAGTTGTTAGTTGAAGGCACATTAATAATTTTATTTTATATTATATTTTTGTAACCAATACAATAATGCACAATCAGCAACATATTTGAACCAAAAACCATAACTAGAATACCGCTTTTATATGGTCAGGGGAAATAGTTTTTCACAACTTTAGTTAACCTAACGGTTAGTAATAACATCAAAGATCTCAACAAATTTCATCTACCATTCAGAAAAGAAAAATAAATAAATAGAACATAAAGGGAAAAACAAACTTACCATCAAAAGATTTCCTATGTTCTCATCAGACTTTGACCAAGGTTGAATTGAAAAGGCTCTTTTCAACTGTACAGACTTGGGTGGGAATGAAGTCTGCCCATCTGAAAAACCAGAGCAAGTTTGGTTTTGATTAATGTTTTGGGGAAAATGACCTTTTCGTTTTAACAAAAGCTCTCTAAGATTTTGATTATAAGCTATTTTGAACACAAAATAAGCTAATGCCAAAACACATCAAATTCCATTTTGATAGGAATATACCAACTTTCACTATGCTAGTGAGCATAATAAATGAAGGGATATTATCATAGATGGATTCAGTATTAATTATGGGTATCAATCATAGGTGATTTTGTATTTATGGGGTCGTTTTATAGGTGATTATGTAGTTATGGGTTGATTTATGGGTAATTGACTGTGTAATTATTGGTGATTGATTCCATAATTAAGGGTGATTAATCCTTTATTTATGGGAATCTATGATAAATAGAGGAGAGATGGGAGCTGATGGGAGACTATTGAGTGATTAAGAATTGGTCTCGAAAGCCCCCACCACAGAGGTTTCAGATTGATACATCCTCACCCCTCAAGGTTTATTCTGGAAAGAGGTTTAGGGGTAATGTGGGTATCCAAAATAATATCCGCAACAACCTCTCAAGTGTCGACTCGGCAGCAAAACTGTTGGGAGGGAATATATACTATATGGGCCTTTCTGATACACACTATGGAGAAGGGGAGAATCACCAATCGCATGACACAAGTGGCAGGTTTTTTAAATAGAGGAGAAAATCATTCAGAAGGGCAGACAAGGATTGGGACTAGGCTGGAACTTGGGAGAATTCAGGGCTTCTCAAATTATCTTGAGCTATAGTTTATTTCCTTTGTTGTTAATTTCATTTACTATTATTTCCATTTGTGGTTGGAGTTGCAATTTCCATTTCTTAGAACCAAGTAAAGAGACATCCTCCAAGGATTTTCCCTTTACACTAGAGCAATGTGTCCGGTTCGGAATAATTCCCCAAAAGATAACTCCCTACAGAATATATGTTATTTAACCACTTGACCAAATAACTCATAACTGTCATCCTAACTGTCTAACTGCTCTTATTTCTTCTAATATATAATCTCCGTATCTTTTTCCTAACCTCTTTATGTTCATGTCTAAAACATAGTGCTGAAGGTTTCTATTGGAGGAAACAGACTCTATACTCACGATGGCAAGGCAAGTACATTTCACCCTCCCCAGGCCTGACAATGGTGGGAGCCTTCTGCACTAGGCCATCCTTTAAAATACAAATATTAAGGTATAAACTCAAAATGGAACCACCTATAAGTGGGAGTTTGAGAGATAACCCCTTGAACAATTAGAATTCTGAAAAGAGAATACTTTATACGTTATTCTCTGTAATTTTTTCCGAGTATCAAGTCAATTTCCAGCATATAAACTTCAATTTCATTGCTCTCAAAATGATTTAGATGCTAAGCAGATCAGCAGAGTAAAAATGTTGCAAAACAACTTCTAATTGTTGCAGTTCAATTTCCAAACTGCACAATCTTCAGAAAGCAGGTACAAGATAGCAAACACAAGTGACCAGAAAAATAAAGTGTCAAATTATTACCTCTATACAATTCAAGATTTTGCATAGTTTCATAGTCAAGAGCTAGTATTGAAGAAAGCCCCTTCTTTGATGCAGCTAACTCCATGAGTTCCAGACATTCATCTTCAATAAGTTCCATTGATTCTTTCACCATTCTGCGGGCAATAGCTCTTTCATTGGCAGCTTTGATCCTTGCTACCTCTTTCTCCCTGCGTAGTTCTTCCTTCTGTCTCAGTTTCTCGGCCTGCAAGAGCAGATAACATAAGCATCATTTAGTTTCACATAACAGATCAGAGTAAATTGGCAGAAAAATCTTACATACTCTAATTGATTCTTTCTGTAAAAACTTCTCCCTCCGCTCCAGTTCACGCCTCTGTTCTCTTTGGTACCTCTCCTCCTCCCGCTGTCTTTCACGCACTAGCCTTTCCTCTTCCTTCCGCCTTTCACGGTCATTCCTCTCCATCTCTTTCTTTATTTGCTCTTCTCTCTTGATGTATGGCAAAACAATATTAGCAACAGAATAAATATAATCATCAAAGCGGGGAAAAAGAGACCAACTCAAACCTTTTGCCTTAGAATATCCTGTTTTTCAAGCTCTTTTCTAATTCTTTTCTCTTGTGCTTCAATTTCCCTTTGCATCCTAGCCTCTTCATTCTGCAAGCAAGACAAGTCAATTAGCAAACATTCTGTAGTGATAAAACATGTTGGAATTGTGTGCTGAGATACCCTTTGTTTCCTTTGAAACCTTGAAAGTTCCTCCTCATGCATAACCTTTCTGTCAGATGGCATTAGTGGGCTGTTGATCAGAGTTATTGGGTGAGCCCCACCATGAGTGTCAACAGTTACATCAACAAATGGGTTTTTTCGGGGAACATCATCATTCTTTCCTGAAGCAGACGGCAAAAGATGATTCTGCCTGTCTTGCTGAGAAAGAAGATTTAAACCAGGTATCTGATCTTGAACTCCATACCCATAAGGTATAGATTCATTCCTATTAAGGAAAGATTGCCCACTTGATAATAAAGTCCGGGAATGCGGAATGCCATCAAGAGAACCATGATGGATAGAGGGGGCAACTCTCTCATATGTCTCATTTCTGACAGTTGGCTGCTCTGGAATAAATTGATATTCGAGGGGAGTCCTTGAAATTGAAACACCCTAGAAATCAAACTTTTTAGCCAAGACAAAAATATGCACATAAAATTCATTCTTTCAACTATGATCAAGTATATAATTAAAACAAATGAAGGGAATACAAAGGAAAACACAGAAAAATATAGCAATATTTAACTAGTATAGTTGTTATGTATCAACTTTTAAAGTAATAGCAGTACAATATTCAACAGATTTCTTTAAAACTCTGCAAGGGCAGAAAGAGAGGAAGAAAAGAAATCTAACCTTGTCCAATTGTTCATAAATTTTTCCCTCAAAAGGCCTTGCAGATTGCCTATGCTGCCCCAATGTCACTGTCCCTGGAATAATAGAAGACATTGCAGAGGTTCAATAGCATTAGATCTTACAGCACAAAGCCATAGTGCCATACCAACTGAAACTTCTCTCATGCGCAGCATTGACAAGAAATGTTTTATACAACCTTCACAAAACCACTTTTAAAATCTTTCAAGAGCTCAAAAGTGATTATTGGCCTTTAAAATTAGATTTTCAGGGTCAAATGCAGCATGTTATGGCACTCTATTATATACAACAGAAAAAAATGCCAAATACCAGTTCTCAAAAGGGAGAGAAAGATTTAAAAGCTCATAAATATATATCATTCTCTTCAAATCAATTGATAAATGTACCACAATTAAAATGGACTATTATCCAAATGAAGACTTAACTCATCAAATGACTTGTTAAAAAGTACTTGCATGGCAAGTGCCTTTAAAATAAGCTCTCATATAAATTTAAATTTTCTTAACCCTTAAAGGGCAAACCCTAGTGCACAAGGTTCTCAAATGTTGTGAGTGTATTAGCCTTGCCCTTTTATTTTTGCAAAGAGTTTGTTATTTAGACTTACAGTGACCTTACGGTCACAAAAGAGCAACCTTACCATTGCAACTAATTTTAAAATGTTTATTGTACAAGTTATTTTTCACTTACTTTCTTAAGTATAAGTATTAGCTGGTGGGTTTGCTTGACCTAATAAGCAATGGAAATTATCCCATCCAAATGCACAAAAGAATTTGTATAATTGTTGTGCTAATGACATTTAATATGCACTTACCACAATAATAAGTTAAGCTGTAAACAACCATTTCAACCCAAAAACTTAAGCTTTTGGGTTGAATCGTCAGTTCTTTACATGGTATCAGAACTTCAGTGACCACAATGTCACGAGTTCGATCCTCACCGCCCCCTACTTTGTAGTGGAATTAAATAAGCACAAGGTAAACCAAAAATTAGGCCTGTATAATATCCACGTTTCAAGCTCAAAAGGCTCTTGTGTGAGGAGGTGTGTTAGAGAATAATATAAACTATTAAAAAGGCCCTCGCCTAAACACCTTAAGGTTTTTGGTTGAAATAGTTCTTTACATGGTATCAGAGCCTCCGTGACTAAGTGGTCACGAGTTCGATCATCACTGCCCTCCACTTTCTTTGGTGAATTTCTTAGCACAGGTAGGTGGGTCTGTGCATTATCCACCTTTCATGCCCAGTAGACTCTCGTGAGAGGGGGCATGTTAAAAAATAATATAAACCATTGATGGGCCTTCACTTAAAAGCTTAAACTTTTGGGTTGAATTGGCTCTTTACATGGTATCAGAGCTTAGGTATCTCAAGTTCAATCCTCGCCGCCCCCCATTTTATTTTTGGAATTTTCTTAGCACAGACAGATGGGCTTGTGCATTATCCACCCTTCAAACCCAGTGAGCTCTTGTGTGAAGAGCGTGTTAAAGAATAGTATGAACCATTAAAAAATCCTCACCCACCAGCTTAAGCTTTTGGGTTAAATTGGTTCTTTATATGATTTCAGAGCTAGGTTTCAAGTGGAATTAAATAAACACAAGGTAAAACAAAAAAAAAAATTGGCCTTGTGCATTATCCAAGCTTTAAGTCCAAAGGGCTATTGCGTGAGGGGGTGTGTTAAAAAATAATATAAACCATTAAAAAGGCCCTCACCCAACACCTTAAGGTTATGGGTTGAAGTGGTTTTTTACATGGTATCAGAGCCTCAGTGTCTCGGGTTCGATCCTCGCCGTCCCCCATTTTCTTTGTGAAATTTCTTAGCACAGGTAAGCTAGGTCTGATGCATCATCCACCTTTCAAGTCCAATGGGCTCTCTTGTGAAGGGGCGTATTAAAGCATAATATTAAAACCATTAAAAGAGGCCCTCACCTAACATTTTAAGCTTTTGGATTGAATTAGTTCTTTACATGGTATCAAAGCCTCGATGTCCTAGGTTCGATCCTCGCCACCCCCTATTTTCTTTGTGGAATTTCTTAACACAGGTAGACTAGACCTGATGCATCATCCACCTTTCAAGTCTAATGGGCTCTCTTGTGAGGGGAAATGTTAGAGATATATAAAATCATTAATGTAGCCTCACACAACAGCTTAAGCTTTTGGATTGAATTGGTTCAATACATAATCTATTGGGTTCATAAAACACTCTATACTAATCCAACATTTCACTTCAAATATTTTACAGCCCTTGAACTCACAATCGGGGTGAAATTATTTGTCACCAATATTGTTAAAAAATTACTATATTTATCAAATGTGGGTAGCTACCCACAAAAACACTATAGCAGGTATCGATATAGTACAACAATGAAGTCCTATGCATGAACCTATTATATAAAAGCAGGCTTGAGCATCAAAAGTTGCAAGACTTGGTTTTTATTAAATATAACCAAGCTCTTAAACAACATTTCGAGAGTCGTGATGTGATTGATCCCATTTTTCTAAAGACATGGATGAGAGTAATGAATAGTTGGTGGGAAAATAGGCGGAGATGATGAAGTTGTTGAAGATGACTTCATTTTTTTTATGATATCTTGACTTGGGGAGCTGTTGCTAATTTAAGTGGTGCTGGTGAGCCTTTAACATATACTAGGCAGCAAACAAGAACGAAGAAACAAGCTTCTTCTATGCCTTCAAGCGCTAGAGGAAAGGAAAAAGAGGGTGTGGAAAGTGAAGGTGGTTATGAAGAAATTGAAGAAGAGGAGGAACAAATTTATAATTTTAGTACTAGAGAAAGTGAGGATGGACAAGACTTCTTAGAAGATGGTGGAAATGATGTTGATTAGTTCCTTCCTTGCATTTGAAATAGACAATGGAAATTCGTATTTGACAATATTTAGATCCTTCCTTATGTTCCTTGAATTTTATTAATTTAGTTTTTTTCAAGGAATTTATGTTATTTCCTTTATCTTCTTTGAATCGTTGTTTAGAATGAAAGTGACAACAGAATTAATTATGAATGTATGTTTTTAATTTTGAGTGATTTTTTATTTTTGTGGACTTCACTGTAGCAATTATACCAGCACTTTTGAACTTGGCCGCTATTGGCCGTTACCTGCTATTAATAACTATGCTATTTTAATTAAAATGACACAATTTTATATCCTTTAAAATGACAAACATGTTTTCATATATATATATATATATATATATATATATGAAAAAAACATTTCTACAGCAACTATAGATAAGGGTTTTTTTCATACAGCAACTATAGATAAGGTTATCTACAGCTACCCCAAAAACTACGTCGTTTTGATTAATGAAGGGTGTTTATGTAATTTTAGGTGAATTAATGAAGGGTGTTTCGGTAAAATTCATATGATAAAAAAATAAACAAAATTACGGAAACATCCTTCATTAATTCACCTAAAATTACAAAAACACTCTTCATTAATCAAAACGAGTAGTTTTTGGGTAGCTGTAGAAAACTTTATCTAAAGCGGCTGTAGAAATTTTTACCCCATATATATATATATATATATATATATATATATATATATTTGTGTGGGAAATGATTTCTGCATTTACTACAGAAATCATTTTTCTACCAATGATAGTAAAAGAGCAATGTGGCCCATCACATTTATCCTTTCTCTCTCTTGATTAGTTTCTCTCTCCCTCATTTTCTATGAGTGGCAGATAAAATGAAATCTGCAGTTAATGCAGAAATTATTTCCCCATATATATATGGGTCAAGATTATTTTACACCAGTGTAAGTTAAACTCTTAATCTTGGTTGTTGATCTTATCTATATCTAACAGTTCTGATTTATAAGATATTTGAGCAATTAGATGGAAGTAAATCAATGATCAAGATTTGGGGCAAGACTTCTTATTCTTACACCGGTGTAAGAATATCATGCCCTTATATATATATATATGTATATATATGGGCTTATCATTTCTGCAGCCGCCGTAGATAACACTCTCTACAGCTGACACAGAAAAGTGGGCCCCACGGCATTTTAAAAAAAAAAATCAAGGATCCGGTGCCGGTGCCGTATCCTAGGATCCGCACGCGGATCCTGGCTAGCTGTAGGTGCAGCGGCTGCAGAAATCATTTTGCCTATATATATATATATATATATATATATATATATGAGGAATCTTTTGACTCCAATGTAAGATTAAAAAGTCTTATTTCTCATCTCAATCGTTGATTTTTGTCTATCTAATGGTTGTAATTTATTTAGAATTAATAATTAATTAATTAGTATAACTTAATAAACTATAATCATTTGATGGACAGAAATCAAATGTTGAGATAATAAGTGTGCATTTGGATAGACTTTTTTTCTAGAAAAGTTACCTTTTTAAAAAAAAATCCTTTTGAATAATTTTATTTGTTTGGATAGCAACTTTTAGAAAAAGAAAAATTAGAAAGAAAAAAAGAAGAGTTAAAATGATGCTTTTTTTTTAGAAGTCATGATTCCTTGCTTCTAAAAAAAACTGAAGTTAAAAGTTAAATATTTTTTTAAAAATCCAATTTATTCCAACCCTACTCCTCCCCACTACCACTGCTCCATAACATTTTCAGTAATTTTATATATAAAAAGTGCTTATTAATTTTAAAATCCAAATAACATTTTTATTTAAAAGTATTTTTTGTGTTTCATCCAAAGATAAAATAATTTCAACTTTTAAAAAAAGTCATTCTAAAAAAAGCAAGTCATAAAAAGTCATTTTTTTAAAAGCCCATATAAACGGATCCTAAGACTTTGTTAGTCTTAAACCGGAGTCAAAAGACCTCTCCTCATATATATACATATACATATGTATGAATCCAGAGTAACACTTACAAGTCTTACTCTCCATCCTAACCGTTAATTTCCGCGCATCTAACGATTATAGTTTAGGAAGTCATATTAATTAATAATTATTAATTACACTACAAATGACAATCATTGATTTCCGTCCATCAACGGCTGAAATGGGGAGTAAGACTTATAAGTCTTACTCTTGAGTCAAAAGAACCCTCCATATATATATATATATATATATATATATATATATATAATAGCCTCATTTTCCCATAACTTTCCACAATTTCGACAATCGCAAAGGAACCAAAATTTAAAATCATGATCACCAGCAACAAGGTGCTCATTTCTCATTCGAATTCTTACGCTTACCCAACTAAGCCAGAAGCAATTAATACAGATAAAATTATCTAATTAATATAAAATAGCCTCCCCTTAACCTCCCACCCTTTTGCTATATGAGTCCTTCACAGATGACAAAACTTAGGAATGTTAATATGCATAAAGAGAAGCAGAGAAAACAAGGTTTACCTATTGGTGTACCAAATGCACCAGGCGGCAAGGAATCAAATTTCATCCCTAGAATTGGTCCATCCTCTCTTAATGGCTCTCCCAACTGTCTTTCCACAAATGCAATAGCTCGCAGCTCCTCTATGGTCTGATGGGCTTCATAGTAACTGTTGCTTTCCATTGCTGGCAATCCAGCTCCCATCCTGGGAAAGGCCATCATCCCAGGCTGTGACACAACTCGCCGCGAATCCAGATGACCAAATTGCTTCAACCCAGAAACCAAACTAGGATCATGCCTAGCATCAGCCACTGCTATTTGCTCAACACCCTCCCCCACCTCGTTTCGCAGCTTCTTGGCGGCTGGCGCAGCCTTCCTGTCCTTCAGTCTCCGGTGACAGAACCACATCTGCAGTTGACGATCAGATAGACCCAACTTCACAGATAGCTCAGCCCGCAAAGCTTCCGAGGGATAGGCCTCCTCTGAACCAAAAATGCACAACCCCAGAACACAAAATTCCACATTTCAGCACAAATTCACTTCACAAATCACAACCCACTTTTTAAAAAAAAAAAAAAAAAGAAGTAGAAGAACACACACATAAAAGAGGTTCACAAAATGGCTGAAAATTATCACTGACCAGCATATGTTTTCTCCAGAACTTCCAACTGGGAAGCAGTCTTCATTTTGCGCTTGGTCTTGTTCTCCCCCTCCGGTGGCTTCTTATTCTTCTCTCCTTCCGAACCACTCTCCATAGCCGAAGATCAAGCTCGCACTTGCACAAACTCACCTCACCTCCCCCCAAAAAAAAAAACAAATTGATCCCTACGGAACAAAGAACCTTGCAAAACACAAACCCTTTGGCTCCCGAGTACCCAAAATCGCAACTCAGAAACAACCCAGAAACCAAAAACCCACGAAGAAGACGAAAAACGAAAGAGAACCCAGAATTGTTCCGGGAATCTGAGCCTGATGGAGTGGTTGCGGGCGTGAATTCAGAGTTTCTCTCTCTCTCTCTCTCTCTCTCTCTCTACGGGAATCGAAGAAGTTTTACTCTTTTTCTGAGATGGGTGTGACTGAGATGTGCGGTTAGATTTTGGGAACAACAAAAACAACAATAATAATAATTAATACAAATAGTAGAGATTACGGAGGAAAAAGAAGAAGGAGAAAGGAGAATGCAAAAACAGTAATAAAAATAATAGAAAAGACGTTCGCGTAATCTTTGATTAATGATAGTGAAACCACGAACAAACGAAACAACAGTCTTGCACTCCCCAATCGCTGCCATCGAATTGTTTTTTCCTCTCTTTTTCCGCCTTTTTGAATTTCAAGTTTTATCCAAATATGTTCGATAAAATGCGCCAAAGAAAAAAAAGAAAAAAACAGAATTTGTAACTTGTAAGTTATAGAGAGAAGATAAGCTAATAATAAATGGAATTTTAAAGATAGAGAGAGAGAGAGAGAAATTGTTATGAGTGTGGCTTTTCGTTGAAATGAAATGAGTGCGTGTGAGTGTGTGAAGCTAAGTGGGTATTTTATTGTAGCGTGTGTTGTGAGGTAGTGTTTGGTTCGGATGTGTTTCTATAAATATATGATTTTCTCTCTCTAGCTTATTGTATTTTTTTGGGTGGTTGCTGGGTTTTTGGGTCTTGAGCGTGGCGATCCTTCAATCTTAGCCCGTTCGTTGCTTTCATTGGTTTGTGTCGTCCCTGGTACGACATTGTCAGTGTCGTTTCGGGACTCAGACTACCCATGCCTACTGCCTCCGCCCCGCACGTGCATTTTGCGCTTATTTGTTGTTACCGTGGTTAAAAGATAAAAGGAATATATAAATATAAAAAAGTGTTTATCCTTAGGCTTTATTTGGGAGTTGATTTTAGGAAGAAATGAAGGGTTTTAGAAAAAAAATTCTTTGTTTGTGAGTTTAAAAAAATGAGGGGAAGAAATTAAAAATTTTTACTAAATCCTCATTCTTCCTAAAATTAAAGTCCCCCCCAATTTGGGAGTTTGAGGGAAGAAATATTAAAAATTACTTATCCACCCTTAGCATTAAAATATGAAAACTTTGTGAATCATTTTTAAATGTGACATTATTAGAAAAGTCTCAAATACCGAAAGAATTTATTGACGAAAAATATTTCGTCAAAAATAATGATGAAAATTTTCATGAAAATCATATAAGTCAAAAAAATTCCGTCAAAACTAAAGACAAAATTAGAGACGGAACTAGATTTTGCAATAATCACTAACATAAATTTTTTACGGAAAAAAAAATCAGTCAAAATTATTGATAGAATCTAAATTCCATTAAAACTTTCAACGAAAATATTTTCGTCCAAAATTTTGAAGAAACACATTTCCATCGAAAAGTTTCGACGTAAAACAATTACGTCAAATTTTTTTATGGAAAACATTTCCATCAAAAAATTTCTCAAAAATTTTTGACGAAAAATACTTCCATCAAAATTTATGACCAAAAACATTTTTCTAAAAAATTTTAATGGAAATTTTTTTTGTCTAAATTCTTTACAGAATCAAAATTTGGTCAAAATATTTCACAAAAAAACATATTCATAAAAAATTTAGACAAAAAATATTTTCATCAAAATTTTCAACGAAACACATTTCTATCAAAAAAATTTTATCGAAAAAAATTTCATCAAAATTCTTTACAGAATTTAAATTCTATTGAAAATTTTCACCGGAAACATTTTCGTTAAAGTTTTTGACATAAAAAATTTCTCTCGAATTTTGTAACGAAACACATTTCCATAGAAACTTTTTGACGGAAAATATTTTCGTCAAGTTTTTGTTAAAAAAACATTTTCATCAAAATTTTCAACTCAATACATTTCTGTCAAAAAATTTCAACAGAAAATATTTTCGTAAACATTTTTGACGAAAAATATTTCGATAAAAAATTTTGACGAAAAAATATTCTGTCAAAATTCTTTACAGAATCTAAATTTCGTCGAAAGTTTCAAATGAAACATTTCCCTCAATATTTTTGACAAAACAATTTCCGTCAAAAATTTTGTCAGAACAAATTTCCATCGAAAATTTGAACGGAAAATATTTCGTCAAAATTTTTGACAGAATTCTTTTTTCGTTTAAAACATTTGATAAAGGAAATCTTTTCCGTCAAAACTTTGGACGGAAACTAAATTTCGTCAAAAATTTCAATAGAAAATTTATTTTTGTAAAAATTTTCATCCGAGAAAAAATTCTGTCACTTTTCGACGAAAAAATAATTTTGTGATGAAATTTTTGTCGTTTGCAATGTAGAAATTTCGTCGCAAATATGATCTTTTTTAGTATTGTGAAAAGTAAATAAATAATTATGTTAAAAATTTTAAATTTAATTTAATTTGTAAAATATAACAATTATATTAATTTAAAAAAGGGTAAAATTGTAAAAATATCTCATTAGTCCTCTATTTTTCTCACTTACCATTTTTTAACTCGCAAACAAGGAGAGGGAATACCCTCCAATTTCCTTCCCCTCCCTTCCCTTTAAATCCCCTTCCTTCTCTTCCCCTCCAAAATCCCAAACAAAGCCTTAAATACACAACTTATGTTATTTCACTCCTACAAAGAGGTGAGACCCACACCTTTACTTTTTTTGTGCATTCTCTCTCCCTCTTTATCTATCTCTTTCTCTCACTTAAAATGACATAATTTTACATCCTTTAAAATGATACACATTTTTTCCATATAAATAAGGACATAATAGAATAATTATGGATATGATAATTACAGAGAGAGAATAAGAGACTTGGATAAAGATAAGAATGATATGGGCCTAATAAGTTTATGTGAGAATAGCTTCTGCTGCGACTGCAAAAGGTTATTTTTATGCCAATGACATACTGTTTTGCATGTCATTTTTATTTTATTTTTTCTTGTTAAAATATGGTAGAGCATGTAAGAACTCGCACCGCTAAATTAGGAATTTAAATAATTTAATAATGAGTTTACAAAATAACTCCATAATTAACTTCGAATAAATATAAAAAGATTAGAATAATTATCTAGAAGGTCAAATAATACTTAAATCGTTTTTCTGATGAAAAGTGCAGATACCGGTTCTGCTTCACAGTATAAATGCGTATAGGTTGAAAGTTCGAATTGGCCTTGAAGGCCGTAGCATGTGAGAGGGAAAAAAAAAATTTCCGCAAGCGGAATACACATGCATGTCAAGATACATACTTTAAGACGTATGTCATACCTTGTTCGTGAAAACTTAAGATGATCAAGGTAGGTCTGAAGGGTTCAGACCCTCTAACGTTGATCCACACCACCCGCGTCTAGATACAGGAACACCTTCCAGTAAAGTCGCCGACTGATCACCACAATAAGGTTTGCTATGTGCTCAATGTGTGATGAAAGGAGACTATGTAAAAGTGTTTAGAAGAGTGAAGTTTTCAGAGAGAAAACCTCACAAAAGTGGCGCAGGAATAAGGAGAGAATGGCTCAGACTTTTTACAAAACCCTAGGAGGAACATATATACTACTAGGCGTACAAGTAGTAATCAAGAGATTCATGATGCAATCCGATTTTTGATCCTCAAAATCTGTAATATCCCATATTTCCTTTTAATAAAATAATAATAATAATATAATAATTTTTTATGGATAATAATGATATTTAGTATTTTTGTAATTAATAATATTGGTATTTAATATTTTAATTAATGAGTTAATAATAGTTAAAATAATAAAAGGTAAGATAATAATAATAGTAATATTATTTGATTTATGTGATAATATATATATATATATATATATATATATATATATATATATATTAGATGATAAATTATGATTAATTGATTGATGATTTATGTATTTATGTTTGATTAGTAATGATTGATTAGTAATTTGTTTAGATATGATGAGTCAACAAACATAAATTGTTTAGATATGATGAGTCAACAAACATAAGTTGCTTAGATATGATGAGTCAACAAACATAAGTTGTTTAGATATCATGAGTCAACAAACATAAATTGTTTAGATATGATGAGTCAAACAAACATAAATTGTTTAGATATGATGAGTCAACAAACATAAATTGTTTAGATATGATGAGTCAGCATTGAGTCAGTAATGTGTAAGTCCAAAACTTCAACTATAAATAGAGGTCTAGCCTAACCAAACCAATTCACTCTTCAACATTTCTCATCTACTATTCTCTCTTCTTAGTTCAAAAACTTAGTTTAATTTATTTTATACTCTTCTGGTTACCAACCGGTTCTCTGCCCCAAATTACTCTTTTCTTCTAAGAAGTTACTCTTTTCATATATTATATGTAACCCTTAGGGTATTTAAATTAAATTATTTTAACCTCTAGAAATTAATTGGATTCATTATTAGATTTTGGCTTTACTCTAATAGATGTGAATATTTGAATTATGATTTGGAAAAAATTATGATATGATGATTGGATTTGGGTTTTACCCTTTGAATTTTGATTTGGAAAATTAGGATATGATGATTGGATTTGGGTTTTGCTCTGGTAGATGTTAAATATGAAAATTATGATATTATCGGATAATGGATTTGAAAATTATGATGGATTTGAAAATTATGATATTGTTAGATAACAGATTTGGAAATTATGATATTATTGAAAGATTGACTTTGGAAATTATAATTTTGATTAAATTGATGTGGAAATCATGAAAATTATTTGACAATTATGAGAATTGTGACAAGATTGAATTGATTGTGTGTTTGTAATAAATTAATGGTGGGAGGATAGCTTTGGGATGGTACCTCCCAAGGTGATGAACACAACTTTTGGGCTTTATGCCTCCGATATGAAACTGATGTGAAAAAGATTATATCCGTTCTTCCCAAATTGGTGTCTGGCAGGGTTTCCCGGGATACTAGTAGCAACTTTGGGAAGAGGTGTGCATACTAGGAAGATGTGAATTGATTATGGCCAATGTGGTTTGTTTGTGACTGGCAGGGTTTTCCGGGTCACAGGGTAGACTGACAGGGTTTCCCGGGTCTACCATGGTTCTCTTCCCACTAAATATAATGAACTTAAACATTATTATTAATGAAATTTGTTATTTGATTTGATTATGAAGAATGTCATTGAGTTGTTAATATTATCATATTATGATTAATGTTGCGCTAAATATGTTAGTTGATAATTACCAAATACATTAAATGAACTTAATAAAGATAAATATTATATAATGGAATTTTGATTATTATATTGATATTTGATTTGATTAATGTGGAACTGATTTGAACACTATTTGATATTTGATTTAATTTGTTATTAATTACATTA